CCCAGGGTTCAGGGACCCGCCGGCATCGCAGGAACAGGAAAGAGAAGCAAAGGATCAAAGCGAGCGATGCTGCCGCTGCCATCCCAGGGGAGGAAGGCAGGTCTTTGTGCAGGAGGGTGGACATGATGGTGGATTTCGAGCAGACCAGCTGGGGCAGCTGGATCGTCTACCCCAAAAAGTACAACGCCTACCGGTGTGAAGGGCGGTGTCCGTCACCCGTGGACGAGACCTTCAAGCCCACCAACCATGCTTACATACAGGTAAGAGGGGTTTGCTGTCCCTGCTCCTCGCCACTCCACTGGTCTGGGGCAGGGGGTGATGCTTTGCCCTTTCTGTGTCTCCCCACAGAGTTTGCTGCAGCTCTACCAGCCCAGCGAAGTGCCCTGCCTCGCCTGCTCCCCGGTCAAGATGAGTCCCCTTTCCATGCTCTACTATGAGAAGGGCGAAATCGTCGTCCGCCACCACGAGGACATGATCATCGAGGAGTGCGGCTGCAACTGAAGCCAGCTCGTCCTCTGCCAGGAAGGAGCACACCTCTGCCCAAAAAGTGTTCCAGAGGACCGTCTGCCCAACCCACGAGTGACGCGCAGACCGGCCTCTGAAGCCCAAGCTCTGGCTGTGCCAGGGGTAGGAGTGGGGCACCGGGGCTCCAGCAGTTCTGCAGCACCATGTGGCCACGGTGTGTGGATGGATGGAGGCTCCAGGTGGAAAAGGCCACCAGACACCTTCCTGTGCTTGGGGGTGGCGGGTGCCCACGATAGGAATCGCTGGTAGCTCCAAGCTCTCGACAGGACGCTGCAGCACAGGGGTCTGGCCATGCTGAGCATTTGCACCATCGGGACTTTCAGTCTCCCCCGGGGTTTAGGCATTTCTCTTAAGACTTCTATTATATTTCTATTAAAACGCTGTCAGATTTCTATTACAATTAAACCAAGTTAACATGTCAGCCCAATGTGGCCCCGGAGGAACTGGCGGGTAGGGGGCAGGAACAACCTCCAGACCCAGTGCTCCTCGCCCAGCACCACGCAGGGAGTGATGCAGAAGAACCTGCCCTGAACGTCTCAGCTCATGTGCTGCTTTCCTCTGTAAAACCAGTCCTTTGCTCGAACCTTTCGCACCACTCACTGGATGGGGCAGTAGCGAAAGGGTTGTGGTTGTATAATTCATCAATAAATTATATATATATTTAAAATGCCTGGTAGATTCTGCTGTTTTCCACAGCTGGGGGGGAGAGGGATGTTGCTCAAGAGCAAGCGGGGAAACACCTGCAGGCCCTGCAGAGGAGAGCTGAGGGGATTTCCACCTTTATTCACCCCTTGGAGATAAGGGAAAGCGCAATAGATTTTAAGCCACGTGCAGCTCTCCTG